AGCGCACACACACACACACACACACGTCTAAACGTATGTGCACAGCCATGCTTCAAATATGTACATATATATGAGAAACAGAAAGAGAAAAAAATGCACATGCATAGTTAAGAAATTCAACACTCCATTCTCAGTAACTGATAAAACTTAAATGACACACAAAAGGTGAGGGAATTAGCTATGAGATAGCAAAGGGGGAATACTTCAGAGGAGAATATAAGCCACTCTGAGGTAAAAAGATTTCCAGACTACTGGCAAAGCAAGAAAGCAAGTACAAGTATACCTCATCTTGTTGCTCTTTGCTGTATGTTTCAAAAATACTTTTTTTTTTTTAACAAATTAAAGAGCTATGGTAACCTTTCCCCAAGCAGTTCCATCCGTACCATATTGTGGCTCTGGGCCATATTTTGCTAATTCTCATAATATTTTAAACCTTTTTATTATCATTATATCACTTACGGTGGCCTTTGACCCATGATCTTTACTACTGCAATTATTTTAAGACACCATGAACTGCACCCACCTTAGATGGCCAGAAATCAAGAGTTATGTGTTCTGACTGTTCCACTGACCACCTCACTCCCCATGTCCCTCTCCTCAAGTCTCCCTAATCCCTCACAGTCAACCATATTGAAGTCAGGCCTCTTAATAACTCTAACATTGCCTCCTCATATGTAAGTGAAAAGTAGAGTCACACATCGCTCATTTTACATCACAGGTGCAAAATGATTGAGCTTAGTGAGGAAGACGTGTAAGCCAAGACAGGCTGAAAGCTAGGCCACTTAGCCAAAGGTATGGACTCAGGGAAAAGTTTTGAAGAAAATTAAAAGTATTGTACTACTTTTTAAAATCAACATGGTACTGGAATCAAAACAGAGCAGAGGATCAATGGAATACATTAGAAGATACAACCACAACTACAAACACACTCAACCACCTTATCTTCAATAAAGGAGCCAAGCAGGTTCACTGGAAAAACGACAGTCTTTTTAATAAATGGTGTTGAAAAAACTGGCTCTACATTTGCCGAAAACTAAAACTCAACCCAAGCCTATCACCATGTACTAAATTAAAATCTAAATGGATTAAAGATCTGAATATTAAAACAGAAACACTAAATCTATTGGAAGACAAATTAGGTACAAACCTTGAAGACATAGAGGTAGGTAGAGAATTCATGAACAGGACTCAAATTTCACGGGAAATACTTCCCAGAATCAATAACTGGGACCACCTCTTATTAAAAAGTTTCTGTAAGTCAAAAAAAATCTCCAGCATAGTGAAAAGAAAACCCACAAACTGGGAAAAGATCTTAGTGAACTCCCCCTCAGACAAAGGACTTTTGTCTAAAATATATAAAGAATTAAAAAAAATCAGACCCCCAAAATTCAAAGATCCAATCCAAAAATGGGCATCTGAGATGAATACACACTTCTCAGAGGAAGAAATACAAATGGCAAATAAATACATGAAAAAATGTTCATCATCATTGGTTATTAGGGAAATGCAAATTAAAACCACACTGAGATTCCATCTCACTCCTGAAAGGATGGCCAGGATCAAGAAAACCAACAACAACAAGTGCTGGAGAGGCTGTGGGGAAAAAGGAACGCTCCTACACTGTTGGTGGGAGTGTAGACTGGTACAACCTTTGTGGAGGTCAGTCTGGAGATTTCTCAAAAAGCTGGGATTGGAAGTCCCATTTGTTCCAGCTATTCCACTACTAGGCATCTTCCCAGAAAAACTGAAAGCATCATACCAAAGTGATATATGCGCACCTATGTTTATAGCAGCACAATTTGTAATTGCCAGATCTTGGAAACAACCCAAATGTCCATCAACTGAGGAATGGATAAAAAAGCTGTGGTACTTCTATACAATGGAGTACTACTCAGCTATAAAGAAGGATCACATTGAGGTATTTATCAATAAATTGGCGCAGCTTGAAACCATACTCATAAGTGAACTAAATCAAACTCGCATCTGTGAACTCCGAATAGTTTCCCTAGTGTAGGAAATGAATCAAATATATAAAAGTACGTGATAACCATGATTCCCCATTATATGGCCTTGAAGCCTTATAAAATTTTCACTCATTAATTAGAATGGCTTTATTCTGGGCTGTTTGATATTATGGCCGGTGATGCAATGAACAGCTACTTTGAGGAAAATAAGACATAATAACAGCTAGTGCCAATTTAATACTATCTTGTTTTAAAGCCGCACCAAACTATGGCTTTTCTGTCTCCATTGATTTTATCATGTTGTAACTTGCTGGATTTTATCGTATGTGGTAGTATAAACAAAAATTGTTATAGGCAGAGATAATATTGAAACCATTGATCATTTTTTCTGTTAGCTGGCTCTATATTATTCTACAATGCTTTCATCCACTTGAATGGTGTTACACAGTGTTGATATGTTTGATGCTATAGCATATGAAGTTATATTCAAATATTTCAAAGAAAAAGACACTATGGTAACTACTATTAAGTTGGGTTATTTGGTAGTGAAGCACTAGGTTGCTGAAAGTGTCTTGCTTTAACCTGTATTGTTATGTTGTTATGCCCCCTTTTATCTCAGCCTCTTCCTTATTCATTAAAAAATTATTTAATTAAAAAAAATATCAACCAATAAAAAATGCTGCTGGGTCTGTAGGGAAAAAGAAACCCTTTACAACTGTTGGTTAGAGAGTAGACTACTACAAACATTGTGGAAATCAGTGTGGAGATTCCTCAAAAAATTAGGATTAGAGGTCCCATTCAATCCAGGTATTCCGCTTCTGTGTATCTTCCCAGAAGAATTGAAAAACATCACACCACAGTGACATATGTGCAACCATAAGTTTCAAAATATACGATAGTCACTGTGAAATGGGAGGAAACTGTTCAATAAAAAGAAGAAACTAAGGGGAAAAGAGAAAGGATAGAAGGGAAAAGAAAAAAATGCAAGTTAGTTATACCATTAGTGTCACTTAGTTCACTGAATAGGAAAGGTTGTGCTAATATTGATTGAAGAAATTTTATGCCCATATTTTGTACCTGAGTGACTAAAGATAATGATGTGTAATTTATCAACAATTGTTACTTTTCCGTTATTTTGTTGTGAAAATTTGTTTTACCTTTTCTTCTTAATATTAACAAATAAAGTAAAAAAAAAAAGTATTGTACTACTTTTAATTTGAGCAGTGGACACTCAAATAACAGAGGGCTAAAGAGGCAAAAGAGACTCTATGGAAAAAGCTTTAATGATCTGCTCAAGCCGGCTACAACCTTCCCTGAAATTAAAGCCTAATCCCAACCAGTGTTCTACCTCTGTCCTGGGAAGGCTGACAAGAGTGAAAAAGACACAGAAAAAAAAGCTTAAAGCAAGCAAGATTGCTTCAAGGTTTAAGGAAAGAAATGAAACAGGGGGCTGGAGATTTAGCTTAGCAGCATAAGCGCCTGCCTTGCAAGCAGGCAGTCCTGAGTTCGATCCCCGGTACCGATAAAAAGGAAAAAGACAAAAAAAAAAAAAAAAGAAAAAAGAAAAAGAAACATAAAAATCCAAGGCAAAGCAGCAAGTGCTGATGTAGAAACCAGAGTAAGTGATCCAGAATATCTAGCTAAAATTACCAATGAAGGTGACTAGCACACTTTCTTAGTTATTTTTCTGATTGCTGGGACAAAATATCCAACATCCACAAGTGAAACAAGGAAAAGCTTATTTCAGTTAACAGTTTACAGAGGTTTCAATCCACAGTCAGCTGTCTCCAAGGCAGGGAGACAGCGTGGCAGAAGAGAAACTGTGTGGGGTGACAGACGAAGCAGCAGGCGCAGCGAGCATTCCTTTGAATTCCATGCAGGCTGCAAACCAGTTGATTGGTGTTACCTACACCCAGGGTGGGGCTTCCCTCTTCAGTAAATCCAGTCAGCGACACCCAGAACAATGTAATCCAACTAGGGGACTAATCCAGACTTCACATACCAATAATCACAGTGTCACATACTCTACATCCAACCACCTACAAAAATCCCCACCCTATGAGTACATGAGGCTTCAGGGAGACAGCAAGATACAAGCCATAACACCAAACAACAATTTCATTGTAGACTCCCAGCCAAAAACAACAACAAAAAAAACTTTATATTGGAAGAAGATTCTATTTAAGATGTTCACAGTTACATAAAAGAAGTATATGCTTAGCTTCAAAAGACAGGATGACTTTCTGGTTAGGGGCTATGCAGCTGGTGGCTTTAAATTGAAGCTAATGCTCCTTTACAACCCTAAAAATCCTAGGTCCCTTAAGAATTAACATGTTCCCAACAGTTTGAATAACCAGTGGTATATGCATAACTGTACTATTTGGCAGCTTTTTATTAATCTTATTAGTAAAAAAAAAAAAAAAAAACAAGAGTGATTAGACCAGTTTTGCCACCAGTGACAGTCATACAAGTACCACTGGTGGTCCAAACCACCCAACAGCAATACCTATGAATTACAGCCCTGTGGGGGACACGTTAAACTAGAGCTACTCTGCCTGTGTTTTCTAAATAGAACAACAAGACACTGATGACAGCACATCACTTTGCAACCTGGTTTACTAAGTATTTTAAGCCTCCTGTGAGACCTCGTGATCAAAAGAAAAAGATTCCCCTCAAAACTTTACTTCTCGTTGACAATGCAGCTGTTCACCCAAATGTTTTGAAAGAGGTACAGAGAGATTAATGCTGTTTTCTTACCTCTCATGCATTCTGTGTGAATCCATGAGAAGTGCACTATGTCTGACAAGATAAAAATGCTTAGCCTGATTTTAATGTCATACAATGTATCCATATATTGAAACATGACATGGTACCCATCCATTTGTACAATTTTTATGTCTTGGTGTATTGGTTAAAAAGTGAATTTTTGGAAAAATTTAAGAATGTATACTATTAGGATACAGCTGTGATAATGATTATGCTATAGATCTGGGCAAAGTACACTGAAAACCTTCTGGGAAAGATTTTCCAGATACCATGAAGAACAACTGTGACTCATGGAAAGAAATCAAAATATCAATGACATCAGGAGTTAGGAAGAACTTGACTCTAACCTTCATGGACGATTTAAAAGGGATTCGAGATTTCATTGGAGAAGTAACTCCAGACATGGCAGAAATGGTACAAGTGGAAATTGAAGAGAAGCCCAAAGAAGTGAACTTGTGCAATCACATGATTAAAAAAAATTTAATGGATAAGGAATTAGTTCTTGTGGTTGCAGAAAGTAATCTTTTAGGATGAAATCTACTGATGAAGATGCTATGAGTATTTCTGAACAACAGAAAAGGATCTAGAATATTACATAAACTTAGCTGTAGCAGTAGCAGGTACCAGGTAGCAGCAGAGTTGGAAAGTATTAACTCAAATTTTGAAAGATATTCTGCACATAAATTCTATCAAAACATCATGCTCCAGAGACATTTTTCTCAAAACGAGAGTCAATCATTGGGACAAACTTCATTGTTGTCTTATTTGAAGATACTGCCTCACCCACCCAACCTTCAACACCTTTATTATCAACACTGAGATCAGACTCTTCACTAGCAAAAATATTATAACTCACCTAAAGCTCAAATGATTATTAGAAATTTGTGTAACAAAAAGTATTTTTTATTAAAGTGTATATTTTTAAGATACAAAGATACTGCAAATGGCAGCATAAACATAACTTTTATGTCTTGGGAAACAAAAAAATTCCCGTGACTTAATTGCAGTATTCACTTTATTCTGGTGCTTGGATTAACTTGCGGTATGTCTGATATTTGCCCAAGTTTAGCTGGAGAGGAATGAAAAGTGATAGCAATAAAAGCTATCAGAGAGCTTTATAGAGACAGACCTTTTAGAGCTTTCCTTGAAAGTCACTGTAGGAACTTTTAACTTTGGGTCGAACAAAATGAAGAGTCATTAACAAATCTTAAGCAAATCAGTAACATTTACATAAACTTAGCTGGTAGCAGATAGCAGCAGAGTTGGAGCATATTAACTCCAATTTTTAAAGACATTCTGCACATAAATGTAAAATTGATCCAATGAGTATTAACTGTTCTTTTCCAGGAGCAAACAGAATTAGTAGTATAATTATCTTAGCCATGTCATGTATATACAAACAAATTTATATCTTTTTCCTTTTCCCTTCCTTTTCTCCTATCAGATTTTCTTTGAGAAAAAAAATAACAATAACAATAAAACAGTTTCAAAACAGGCCAGTAGGAGAGTAACAATAATATGTTGTTATCTTCGAGGTAATTACTCAGGGAACACACTGAGGATCTACAGTCCCACCACTGTCATTATGCCCTGCTAGGCATCTTGATGGTTCTCTGGAAGAAAGAACTGGGGAAACAGGAATGGGGAAGAAAGAACTGGGGAAACAGGAATGGGGAAGAAAGAACTGGGGAAACAGGAATGGGGAAGAAAGAACTGTATTCCTGATCCACACTGGTACAATTAACCTATCTTCCTGTTTTAACTTCAGGAATACCTCGTTACCTACTAGTGACTTCCTAATCTATTTCTAGGCCTTTAGTTTCCTCCAGAGCTACAGTAAGCAAACTTTTTCTATACAGGGCAGGATAATAAATAGTTTAAATTTTAAAAGTCATGAAAATTCTGTTTTGACTATTCCTCTATGCTGTTGTAGAACAAAAGCAATCATAGACCACATGTAAAAGAAAAGGATGGATACGTCCCAATCCTCTACAAATAGTAAAATGTGAGGTTTTGGGTTTTGATTGCTATTCTGGTTATGGGAGGGGGGGGTGTCAGGAATCTAACTCAGGACCTCACACCTGCCAGGCACCATTGAGGTAAATCCCCTGCCCCAAAATGTGAGCTTTCTGTAATATTCACATGCTACAAATCTTAGTATTCTTATGTTTTAACTACTGAAAAATGCAAAATCCAGTTGAACTTTGTTCCCTCGGCTGCCCTGCACTGTGCCAACCACTGCTCTGGGGTTTACACAGCCCATGCCCACATTTTCAACCCTGGAAAACAATCCTATTACTGTGTTTCTCACGAGCTCCTGTTTTCCTATTGTTTTATGGTAGCTGTATTAATCAACATTAACATAAGAGAAAATCCAAATTTCAGAACTGTACTTGAAATAAGTCATATCAAGTGAATATGTCCTTTAGCATACATCTTCTAAGGCTACTAAATATCCTACGTCCTATAAATTAAAATTTTCCCACCTCTGAGTTGAACCCAGGCCCTTCACACTGAGCCACATACTCGGTCCCTTTGTTTGTTTGCTTGCTTGCTTGCTTGGTTTTGGGAGATTTTTGCGGGGGGGGGGGGGTAGGGTTTTTTTTTCTTTTTTTGGTATCAGGAAACAAAGTCAGCAACTTCGCACTTGCCAAGCAGGCGCTTGTGCTGCTGAGCTAAATCCCTAGCCCCTTTTCTGTTGAAACAAGGTCTCCTTAAATTGCCCAGGCTCTGCCTGAACTTAGGATCCTCCTGTCTCAGCCTCCCAGAGTGCTATTATAGGTATGTGCCACCACGCCCATCTATAAATTTTAATTGTGAAACTCTAACAGAATTCCTAGTGATTAATCAAAGATAAAAGCAATCTGAAGTAGTTTATCACAAGGTCTTCCTACATTACAATGCACAGACAGAAAGGGAAGGGAAGTGAAGATTACCAATAGTTAATATAAATTTAATAACACAGATTCCATCCAACGAAGAGGTTTGGGTATCAGCACACAGGGAAAGCTCAATGCCGTACTGATGTGTTTGCCTTTGTCATTTTCAGTGGACCCTTCTGGAAAATTTGGTAAGTTTGGAACATTTCTTCCCCTTACCTATTCTTGTGATTAGGACTTTTGAGTTTTTGTTACCAAATTTTCTTGAGTTACAAGTTCTACCTCAAGATGGCCATTATTTTTATGTGGTTTCCTCATATTTAGTTTTGATTTCCCCTTACCTGTTTTCCTTTAGTACACAGCCTTATATCTGATTCTATTACCAAAGACCACTCCCATGCATTCCCACAGCAGGTTCCCAACCAAGCAATCACAGCAGAGCTAAACTCTTTTACTGAAAAAGTAACTTTTACTGAAAAATAAAACCCTCCAGGATTGTCAAAGAATACATCCCAAAATAAGATGGTACCCACAAAATATATTCCTCTAACTAAGAAATGGCAAGAGTGGTGACTTGTGTCAGAACAAAAAAAGGTAGGAAATACAATAGTTTGAATTTTGGTAAAATCATTATTTTTACATTATTAAAATCATTATATTAACTAACTAGGACAAAATAACGCTCTCTATAAAATGGGATGATGAACTTGGGCTAGCAGCACTCCTAAAAGTGATTCTACATCCCCAGGAGTTTCTGACTTCACCTCGAAAGAGTATCACTGGAAGCCAGGCATGGTGGTGTACTGCTGTAATCCCAGCACTTGGGAGGCTGAGGCAGGAGGATCACTGCAAGTTCGAGGCCAGCCTGGGGTACAAAGTGAACTCAAGCCCAGCCTGAACTGCATAGCGAGACCCTGGCTCAACAAAGACAAAGAAAAAGAGGATCACTGGAATATGGATTCTCTTTGGGTTAGAAAATCTCCAGAGATCTTTCTTTTGTGTTTTGTTTTTAGCACTATGGCCTATAGGTGAGCTCCTCAGCTATTCTCACCTTTAACATTTTTACCTCATCATTATTTTCTGGTATGGCTATTTCTACTCCAAAATAGAGCCTTGTGTTTCTAAGGTCATTTTAAATGTTCCTATTACCCCAAGTCCTCTAAGATGTTAAACATCTATCTCAGAAAATACTGCCCTATGGAGATAAAGTTCATATAAAAGGAAGCCATAATATCTCACAGGTTCTGAACAGGAATCTCCTCACTGACTCCCATCAAGATACAGTGAAAGACTGGCTTCTGAACTCCTTTGGTTCTTCACTGAAAATTTAGAATTCTTCTCTAGTTATAGGTAAAGGACTTCTTAATCACATTAATAGGAAAAAATAGTTAATACCAAAATCTCATCGACTTTCTCTCACTGTCTAAATAAATTTACCCTTGAGCGGGAGTCAGGATTGGGCACCTGCTGAAAACTCAGTGTCAGAGCACAAGTGTAAGGTCTGAGTTCAGTCCTGAGTATCACAAAAATACATAAATAAGACGAAGCAGAAAGTAAGACACATCTCATGAGACATATTTCAAGAATCCCAAACATCCCAAACACTGGCAAAACAGAGCCAATTTCCCAAAATAAATATTTAGCATTTAGTCGCGTTAAAATTTCATTCTTCTTTCTAGAAAGAGGCTGGGTTGAAGCGAGGAGAGGGCAGGAAGATGAGGCTGAAAGGGGCTAACACTTCCTTGTAACTCACAGTACAAATCACAGTGCACGTTCACCACAATCACTCTGTGCCTCTATCCCCCAAATGCTCTCCCCACACGATATTCTTTCCTGTTTTCCCTGTGAAAAGAAAAGGCATTGTCTGTGGTCAGCTTTACACATCAACTGCACTCTGAAGACTCCTGCATGATGACATGGTTCTGTGAAGCATCACAAGCCAAGCCATCCCCCCAGGAGATGAATTAGTGTTTAGTAAATATATTTTTTAAATTGCCCAAAAAGTCAATTCAATTTTTATTTCCTCCAGGACTAAGCGTGGAACCCAGATTCTTCACAGTGAGCTACATCTCCAGCTCTATCTTTATATTTTATTTTGAAACAAGATTTTGCTGAGCCACTAGACTTAAAATTGCCAGCCACCTACCTCAGTCTCACAGGGTGCTGGGAGAATGATGTTCACCCCAAACCTTGCTTCAGGTCATTCTTTGGAAATATTTTCTTATAAAATATAAATTTCTTATTGATACCATATGTGTAAGATTCAATTTAAAATTCAAAAAATATTTAACACAAACTAGACCATAAAATAATCTGTCATTCTCTCAAGTCCCTTCTCACCTCCACATTCAGCTAAATATATGACCCTTAAAATGTAACCAGTGGTTTAAAAACTGTAATGGTTCATTATTTTCATGCTTAACACATTTGTTTTGGAGTCTAGAACTGTGTACTCCTTGCTCACCACTGAATTGAGAACCTAAGAATAGTTTCCTAATAAAGATCATGTTGAATTTTCAATATTAATTATTAATTTAGAATTATTAATTTGATAGCTATTTCCTTATATCTTTCATCATCAGCAAAAACCAATCCAATTTAAAATTGTAATCACTAACCTTAATCGGCCTGAATAAATTACAATGATCCCCAAAGTCTTGATTAAAGTTTTTAATACATTAAAATTTTGTTGTATGGGCTGCTGCTTGCAATAAATGCATTTTGTATCATAAAGGTTTTCATTATAAGTCTAGGATGATCATGAAGTCCAAGGGAAAGAGAAGATGTATGTACTATCTTAAAACCTAGAAGAAAACACTAGCTTAGAATGTGGTGGAGTAATGATTATAGCTGGCTTCTGCGAAGCTAAGTTGAAATAAAACTGAACTTCATTTTAGGCGACAGCTAGGTTCCTGAAAAATAAATCCTAGGAAATCTAATTTTTGTTACTTTTCAAGATAGAAAGACAACAGATATTAAAATAATCAAGGGTAAATAGATACCAGAGGTAATAACATCTTTCTCAGTGCAATGAGAAATATAGTAAATTTTTAAATTTTATGAAGTACAATAAAACTTGTTTCAGATGGCACAAGCCTGTGATCCCAGCACTCAGGAGGCTGAGGCAGGAGAATCAATGAGAGTGTGAAGCCAGCCTGTACTACACTGTGAGTTCAAGATTAGCCTGAACTACACAGTGAGACCCTGTCTCAAAAAAAAAATTTATTAAACCTCAGATATTTAATTCTGATTAACAAAATCTATACAAGTTAGAAGGCAGATTAGGTTTTAAAAAGTGGGTCATGCAGCATTATACACAGCAGTAAATAATTACAACCTGAGACAGGGTAAGACTACAAGTATATATTAACAAAATTCAGTTTGTGTGAGAAGTACATTCAATGGAATTCTTAAAGCTAGAAGCATTCAGAAAAACATACTCTTCTATCCAACCTCCTACACACACCACAACCCTAACCAAAACAAAACAACTGAAAGCGGTATCAGAGATTGAAATATTCTAGACTATCTTACTTAATTCATCAGTATTTGGAATATACTGTCACTAACTTTCCCTAGAAAAATTGGAAATTAATTTATCTTCAGTAGCATCTTACTTCCCTTAATAACATCACAGGAAGAAATTCATAAAAGAGTTCAGAGAACATTACTCCAAGTTACCTAAAGTTACATCTATTTTGATGTTAAAAGCTTAAAGAAACAGAAAACACTAAACTATAAAAGCATTAAACTATAAAATCATTTTTGATTTATAATTTCTTACCTAACACAGGTGTGTCTTGTTTTACATGATAAAACTCTAAAGTTATGTGAATGTTGATTTTTCAAACATCTAACCTTATAAATGTATCAAAAATTTTTCAATATTTAAAAAGTCCAAAAATTAATTTTTAAGCAATAAATCTGCCTATACTATAACTAATTACTCCTCTAAATTATTTGTTGGGAACTAAAAATGCCTTGTCTTTATTGGAGCAGGAAGTTTTGGCACACATTATCTTACTTGGTAATAATCTTAGCCAATGTTTATTGACATAGGTATTTACTAAGATCCACACACTTCACTAAGTGTTTTACTTAAATAATATTATTTAATCATAACATCCTTGCAAGATAGCTACTACTACTGTACTAATTGTACAGACAACAAAGTGAAATCACCCACTGATTAGGGATGAAGCCAGGATTTTAATGTCTGTCTTCAAAGGCTGTTTCTTTGTCTAGACTCCCTGAAAAGTTCTAGAAAGTGACCATTCCAGACTAAATACAAAGAAAGTGAGACTCTCCAAATTCATTTACCCAAATAAACCAGGCTAATAAGGGTAGTAAAACCAGGGAGGTTTTTTCAGCTCTTAAATTCAGTATTCTTTCTACTATATAAAACACAGAGTTTTTTCAAAGCAAGATATCGGTCTGCTGCCCAGAAAATAATCCATACAATTCTCCTTGGGAGCTTAGATATTTCTTACATAATTCAGAAAACCAAATTTGAAAGAGGAAAAAAAAGCTAACAAAAAAAACCTAATAAAAGCTCACATAAAGAGCACATAAAAACTTGATAGATGGCAGAACTGATTTATGTGCACATTTTAAAAGGGACCTGAAAATATGGCAAAGTAAGCTAGTAGGTATTACACACAGCAGGTGATGGTTAACACTGAGCTCTAAAGCCTTTATTCTCAGTTCTACCATCCACTAATTATATGATCTATTTACATTCATTCAAGCTTTCATGTCTCAGTTTCTTCATCCGTAAAACTGGAATAATAACAATACCTACCCTATATGGTTGTAAAGACTAAGCGATTTCATATGTAAAATGCTCATAAAAGTGAGGGCTTGCTATAGGGTACTTCATAATTATCAGCTCATACTATTATCCTTTTGCAAGTTGAAATATAAATATCTGAGTTCCCTTTTTCTCTCTTAAGAGATAATTAGTACTTAAGCCCTATAATTTTTCCTTTAAATTTTTTAAGGATACATCCTGAATTAGTCCCTAAGCATTATTTAGTAGTTGTAATCTACTACTAAACAAATGCCAATTCATTTATATTACATTTTACCTTTTCTCTCTCTAGTCTTCAAATCTATTCAAGTCTAGAATCATCAATAATTCTATAATATTATGTGATTTTTGAGGATAATCTTAAATTGCTTTTATATTTCTATTTTTGAGGATAATCTTAAATTTAGTTTCCCAATTTTAAGACAAAAAAAAAAAAAAAAGAAAACCAACAGGAAAAATAGGGATAAAGTAAAAATACTTGCTATCTGACTTATGCACTTTCGTTGTGTTCAGTCATATATCCAGGTTACGTGGGTGAAGAGCTTACCAAAAAAGCTCAACTTCCAAAACATGGAAAAACGACAGAAAGCAGAGAAGCGCTGAAGAAGGAAGTATTTAAACCGTCTGATGAATCTGTAGCAATACACAGTAAAGAGTCAAAAAGACAAGCAAAACTCACTGAATCAGAGAAAGACAAGACCAGAAAGAGTGATGCTGAAATAGCAAAACCAGAAGCAAAAACACAGGAAATCCAGGTAAAGAAAAGTCAGGAAAGAGTACCACTAGGCAAGCAACCCCAAATAAAAGGTGAAACACAAGTACCAGAAAAACCTAAAGCCCAAGGAACTAAAAGTGATCTAACAGTACCCAAGAAACAGGGATCTCAGATTAAAAAAAGTGAACAGGTTCCCAAAAAACAGGGATCTCCGATAAAAAAAAGTGAACAGGAAGTACCAAAAGCCCAGGAATCTCAAGTAAAGAGTGAGCCAGCAGTAGCAAAAGAACCCAAGGCCCAAGAAAAGGAAACTGAGGGAGAAACAGAGGCTCAAGAAAAGCAAACTGCAGAAGAACCAAAAGAAGAGAAAGTCCAAGGAAAGAAAAGTAAAGAAGCGATACCAAAAGAAATAGCCCCACAAAAGAAAGGTGAGGCCGGAACACCAAAAGAAAAGAAGGCCCAAGAAAAGGCAGATAAAGGAGGACCTGCGGATCAAGGAAAGGAGGACAAAGAAGAGACAGATGCAAAAACACCTCAAGGTAAAAAAGAAAAAGATGCCAAACCCAAGAAAGAAGACGAAGGGAAAGACAAAGAAAAGAAAGAACCAGCCGACAAGGGGAAGAAAGCTCCAGCAAAAGGCAAAGGCAAGTAAAAGGAGGAAGTACAACAAAAGGTGGAAGCCTAGAGGAAACAAAAGCCCATAAACAGCTGATCAGTAGGGCCCTGTCCTCCCGAGCGGGCCATGTCCCTGCCACTGCTTAATTACAAAATCAATCTAAATGAGCAAATTTGCAGTTTCAGCTCTTTAGGCCTCTCAGCCATAAACTTCACCTTTTAAATATCTGCTTTATTAGCCCCTGTATAAATTTATATTATTCAGTCAAGAAAAAATGGGTATTTCATGAAATAAAGCACTTGTATTAAATTATTATGTCTTTTTACAAGTATTCTATCTCTAGCTTAACCAACCAATACATCAATAATGCTTCAGGATGGGCTTAGTGATTACAAGATACTACCAATAAGGTATATACAGAAAATTCAAGTCAGAATCCTTGAAATCGGGTAATCTGAACCAATGTGTAGTGACATACACAGGCATGGTCATTTTAAAGTATCAACTGTAAAAACTGCCAGTGAAGTAGTTTAGACAGACAATAGAGTAAGAGTTCAGAAACATCCTGGGATGAGAAACAAAAGGATAGCTTCACAGGGAAGGGAATGGTGGTATGCAACATGTCAGAAGATAGGTAGGATGTTGACTCGTTCAGAGAAACAGGAGTAGAAGGCACAGAGGTGACAGGTTGGCAATGCCTGCTTCACGGCAGAGGCAGTTTTGCTGCGCAAGTCCTATAGGGAGGCATCTAAGCTTTAATTCTGAAAAGGACAATATGAAAGAACTTAAAAAACAGCCCTAAAGTTATATTGTACTAATTAGAAAGCTAAAAGCTTTCTGGCGTACTTGAGAAGGACAGTAAATTCGCATTACAAACAATGTTAATCTTGTGGTTGTGCAAAGTACATTGCAGAAAAGAAACACCACAAATCCAGCTAAGAGGTATGGGGAGTGACAGGCAATAAAAAGAAATGAGATATTTTTTCAAAACAAGAATCACTACTTCTTCATGACTGACTGCACACGGAAAGGGGGGAAAAAGTAAATTTAAAAATCACTCAAAAGCTAGGAGCTAGCTTGTGGGACAAGAAGTGGTTCAGTCAATTTTTCATCACTGGAACAAAATCCCCAGCACTCACAACCTAAAGGAGAACAGGTATGTTTTAGCTCACAGTTTTAGTCTATGTTTGGCTGGTTTCAAGGCAGCAACAGGATGGCAGAGAGGCACGATGGAAGAAAAGGTACTCCACTATGGCAGCCAGGAAGAGCCAAGTGAGGAGTCAGACAGGGAGTGAAACCTTCCCAGGCATGGCCCAGTGACCCACACTACCAGGCCCCGTGCCTAACACACACTCAGCTATTGCACTTAATGAGAGTCAGGTAGTGAGTACAGCACCCTGTGATCCAGTCACTTGCCAACACGCAACGCTCTGTACATCCTCTTTAGATCTAAACCAAAAATTGCAACTGGTCCCAAAAAGACTCATGTTTATCTCACTGTGCAAAATGCACTCAGTCCAGCTCTAAGAGCCAGCAAAGTTTTCACTTTCAGCATTGCTATAAATTCCAAGTCCAAAAATTCCTCTGAGGCTTAAGACAAATTCTTAGCCAGGGAAGACATATAAAAAGTGAAGAGACTGAGAGTTGCCCACCAAGAAGCCAACTAACCAGCCTTTCTGGTAAGCCATGCAAGCCATGCAGGGCCCAGGAAAAGTCAGACAGCACCTCCTGGGAGCCTACCAGCAAGCAGACTGAAAATCACCCACTCCTCATCACCATCCCACTCCAGGAGAAACGGGCTAGTTCGAAGGACAAGCTGAGTTGATAGCAACTGAGGTACAAAACTCAACTGAATGCTTATATTGTTTGGTGATATTGTTCTTAGATGCCAGTGATCTAAGCATCTATTGGGAGGATAACAGTAGACAATATATCGAATATGGTGATTTCCTTCTATCTTGTGTTTGAAATCTAGTATCATTCTGTTTTGTTTTGTTCCAATTGCTTTGTTTGATTCAATGTTCTGTGTTTTGTTTTGTATTGGTTTGTTTTTTGTTTTTGGTACTAGGGATTGAACTCACAACCTTGCAGTTGCCAAGCCATCTGTGCTGCTGAGCTAAATCCCTGGCCCTTCAATGTTCTGACTGATTTTATTCTATTTTGTTTTGGTTTGATTTTTCTGTATCTGATGGAAGGGACAACTATTGTGAAGATAACAAGATATGCTATGGTAGCCATTGTTGTTTTCCTACTATCCTGCTTTGAAGTTCTGTAACAATTTCACTGCTTTGTTTTGATTGGATTTATTGATTTGTTTTGTTATCTTTAAAATAAATAAATTAATAAGCAAAAAGAAAATAAAAACATATCCAACATACAATGGCACAAAGTAGATATACTCATTCCAAAAAGGAAAAATAGAATAGCAAGAAATTGACAAAAGAACAAAATTCATCAAGGAAAATATTAAATCCAGTAGTTCTATGTCCAGTACTTGGAGCAGGTAATGGTGAGACATAAATTTCTAAGGGCTTAGGCAGCATCACCCCATTACAACCTTGCTGGTTGCAGTCTTCATGGCCCCTCTCTTGGGGTGAATCCATTCATTGCCTATGCTTTCCTCAGTCAATGGTGTTCCTTACATATCCAACTTCCTGGTGATCCACTTCACTTTCAACTTTACTGACAGTTTCATGCACTGTCTTCTCAGGGGCACACTCCCCTCCAATGCCTTCCTCTAAAATCTAGCTGGACATCTCCCCAAGCCTGTAACTCTTACATTGTACATGTATGCAAAACCAGCACCACATGAATGTTGCTGCCAGTTGAAGCAGTAACCAGGCCCTCTTGCATCATGGCTGCAAAGGCTTCTGTATGCCTGGATGGCTAAGACTATGCAAAGAATCCTGGGGGAAAACCCCATTCTCACGGAGGGAGACCAGGGGCTCTTTCCTCAAATGAAGGCTTCACAGTTTTGTACCTTTAATCCTGCAAAAGGTAGGATTTCTGATTCCTAAAATGCCTTTGAGTCATCCATCCTATTGTCCTGAAGCAAAGCATTTGTTTTCTTTTGAATGCTCATCTTTTTAGCAACCATGTTCTCTATGGTGCCAACTTTGTACGTTCTTCCTTTCCTCAAAAATCCAAACTTCAAATCATTGACTTCTATAGTTAGCGTGGATCACTCATTTGAGAATGCTACACAATCTACTGTTGAGAGACAACTGAGCATTTGAAATAAACTATATTTCCTTTCAAATCTGGAATTCTACAGTTCAACGTATGAATGTCTTTTAAGTAACTAGATGCCTTCCAAGGAAATTTTTTTCACACTGCTACACTATGATTCTTTGAAGAAATTTAATTTAAAAAAGAACTCAAACTGTAGCTTCATCAAAAAACATAATATAGTCTGTAAATGTTTCAAGCTCCCCAACCACAACCTGACAAGAATCGTCCCACAGCTTTTAGGACAATCCAAACTACCATTTCCCTACTACAGGCTCACTGACGTTCCACAGACACAGAAGCTTATGTTAATTTTAGAAGTCTTTCAATCCTCAGGTCTTCAATGAGCTTCACATGTTTAAGAAAATTCAACTGTCAAAACCAGAAAAGAGAGAAAATATAGATACTGAACATGGATATTTTTATATTATAGATTAGTTTTATGTTTCTGGAACATATGCACTTAAATTTTTACCAGCTTTGGTTGACTTATCTCTTGGACACAGTACACTGTCATAGAAAATCAGTTATAAGTGCTAGATTTTCATGATCCTCATGGCATTTTTTCTGTAAATTCCTTTGTTTCTTCTGACAGTTAACCAGTAGGCTTTGGAAAGCTATGAAATGTAAGTTCCAATTTCTTCTAAGAAGCAGAGTGATTTGGTGGTTTGGTGTAAGAGACAGAGGAAGAGACAAAGAAAGGAAAAAAGAGGCATTTTTGTGGGCAAGGAGGGCGGCCAAAGAGACGCAAACACACTCTGCCACAACTAAGGAGCGTGCAAATTTTTATTAGGTCTGGTTAGGGGAGGAGTCTGTCGTCTAATGAGGAAGTCATATTAACATCGGATTTGGCATGATTTTGGCACACATGGCACCAGAGCCAGGAAGTTTATCTTGGGATGAGGGGAGAGAAGGAGGAGGTCAGTCAAGGCACTGTCGTCAGCTCCTTCACTGTTTTAGACCAAAACCATGGGACAAACCCATCATTCCTATCTTTTGGTGGTTAGGGGATGACATATATCTCTCTTGCTACTTCCTGCTGAACGGAGGTATCATGATAGCGGGTATGATTTGATGCTAAATGATTAGTAGCTCCCATGTAGAGGCTGATGGGGGGGTTCTGTCATGACTAGAAGTCCTTTAGCAGTGAAAGCTTGTATCCTGGAATAGATAAACCGAACCTGGAGAGGAGTTTAAAGACACAGGTGCTACAAGCAGGAAAAAAACAATTGTGACTAGTGGACCTATCATAGGTACCACAATAGGTGCCCATGAATCTAGGGAGGGCCACCAGGAGGACCATGGGGTTGTATTATACCCCGTAAGTCTTTTTTCTAGGTTTGCAGCCAACTCTTGGAGCTTATGAATCTGGCCCTTGACTATACCTGCCTGGTTTACAAAGAAACAACATTCTTCCCCCAACACAGCACAGGTACCACTTTTCTCAGCAGTTAGTGCATAGATAGCTCAACAGTTCTGGAGGACAACTGCTGTTAGACAGATAACCTGATCTTGAAGTGAGTTCAGAGTTTTTACTACTTCATAAATAGAGGTTTTTAAATCATAAGACAACTGAATATAGAAGTAAGCACACATTCCAATTCCTCCAGCTCCTGCACTGATAGCTGAGAAGATACCAGTCCTTGTGAGGACTGGAGCTACAGCCCTGGATGACCTATGAAACAGCGTGTGAGAGTTAATCTGTAATCTTTGCATGACTTCAGATTTTGTTTGGTGTCACTTGTGGGGCCAGCATTGCTAATGTGCAGGATCCCTGCTATGTGGAAGGGAGACAGGCAAACACTCCAAACCCACAAAGCAGTGTCCAAAAGGAGGGCACAGAGGGCCAGTGATGTCTGTTATCTCTTGTACATGGCTGCATGGTTCAAGAAACTCCACCATAGGTAGTGTACCAGTTTGGCCTGAGTAAAGGATACAGGAGAGATTTCCTGGCCATAATTGTCCTGGTGCTAAAGTTAGAGGCCCAACAATTTGTGCTTGTGCATATATTTGAAGGAC